ACTAAAACATTCCATTACTAAAACTTTCAAATCATAGTCTTCTGATAGTACTAAATTGTCATGTGTTTTGTTTCTTTTCCATAAATGAATTACACAAAGTTTTCCACTCTTTTTTTTTATCTATTCGACGCGTCACTGTCTTCTGGGCAAAATACTAAAAGAAATCCTAGGGATACATTGTCTGAATAAGCATTACTACTTAAAGTTAGTAAATAAGAAAAAAAAGAGATCCTAAGAAGACTTCGTATCAATCTTGTCTGACGAATCAATGACAATACTAATAAGAATACACTATTCAAATTTCTCCATGACATACATGCGTCTTAGACATGTTTGCAAAGTCATAAATGAGATTTTCGAGTAATAATAATAAGAAGAACAACATTTGTCATTATAATAATAAAGGCTGGTGGGTGCTCATGGTCCGCAGAGGCTTTATAACACACCCACACCCACATGCACACCCACACCCACATCCACATCCACACCCACACCCACACCCACCCACACCCGCATACCCACACCCACACCCTATTTAATTTGAAATTTTTTTCATTAACATGTTATAATCTAACTAATGCATATGACAATCGAGTGTTACCTTTATTTCGTCGTATGAAAAATTCGGAAAAATTGACTTTATATATTCGTCTTGCAGATCGAGCTACATTTGTTGATGGTACTCATTTACATGAGAAAATTCTTATGTATATGTCACAATTTTATACATTTATTTTTTATATTAGTACTATGATAGAAATTAATGATTCAATTCACCTTTTATCTGATAATGATATACAACAAACTTTTACTAACATAGGTTATTATCAAACATCTTGTACTGTAAGCTATTGTCGTCGATCCAAGGCAATATGTCATGTTTTCTCACTTCTATTCACATTTGATCGTCTCGAAATGATCATTAATAGATTTCCAACTATAATATTCCATCATGTTACTTACTTGCTGGTGTTCGATACGGTTCAATTCAAACATGAATTCTTCATTCGAATTTCTAAAGCTTTTCCATTGTTGAAACAATTTACTATTTCCAATAGAGTCTTGTTATTAATAGATTTTAACAAATACGAAGCTGATTATATTCAATCATGTGCAATTATTCAATTTTCTCATATTATTTCACTTAATATGATGGTTCTGGATCAACATTACATTGAGCAATTTTTACTTGATACAAAGGTTCATGTACCTCGTTTGATGGAATTAAAACTATTTTATTCTCATCTGAAGAATATCACAAGAAACTTTACGAGAGATGCAACACAACACAACTGTGCTAAAATAAAACGATTAATCTTTTATGACACATGTGATCATCCAACAAAATTTGATAATTATTTTCCTTCTTTGGATACTGTATCTTATCGTAATAGTACTTGATAAAAATGGTTGTTATAAAAATTCTCAAATTTTATTCTCGAAATCCTGAAATGTTAATAAAACCATTTGTTAATAATTACTCTATGCATATAAAAGATATTTCTCTTAAATGAAACTGTTTGTATCATGTATTTTTATAATGCAACAATTGATTTCTATCAATATCTAAAATTTCATAATGAACTAACTTGAAAATGCTTCCTTTTTTTTTAAAGACTTTCTTCTTTTTCGTTTGTTGATGATCTTCTTTGCTTATTCTTGTTACGAAACTTAGCTGTAGCAGAATTCATTAATATAGAGTTGGACAGTTTTTTGATATAGTCATTTTTGCTTCATGGTCTCAGGTCAAAACCGTGGCCTAGAATTATCGAATCCGTTTGAAACCTGTTTTAAGTTCATAGGAGACCTAAATAAGATTGCTTTAGTGTCATATCCTATCAGAATGTCGGCTATTTCAATATTTTTCATCAGTTGGGCTTGTCTGACGAAATTCTATTCGGCATTCCATCAACCTCCAACAGGAGCTATTTAGATTTTGACATATCTGGCAAGTTTTCTGATAGAATTGAAGAATCGGATAATTTGTCCTAGTGTAGTTATCTTTCGTACGTCCTGTTTTCAGCAATATATTTCTATTGAGAGCTGTACGTCACCAGTAGGATTGAAGTAAAATTCTACTATAACACGAGAATTTGTATCTTTTATAGCCGCTTGATATCAGTATGTTTGAGCTCATGCGAATAACTCTCATTTTGATAGTTGAATGTATAGTGTTATGCTAAGTTGGTATTGAATCATAATGTAAAAAACTTATAATGCGAAGAACAGCAAGTAAAGGGTGTGGGGGTAAATGTGTATATGGTTGTGCATGGTCATGTGCCTGTGCATAGGTTGGAGTGCAAGTTTTCTCTTCGCCAACATCTACACTAGCACGGACACACCCAACAACACCCATACGACATACTCATACCCACAGCCAGAGCTACAGCCACCCACACACCCATACACCTTAGCGATCGATACGCAAACTGTAAACTCATTTTTGCTTTCTATTCAAGTTAAATAAGCATTCTTTTATTTTTATGAAAAAAAATCACCATCAATGTTGAACTTTTTTCATTGATTTCAATTCTTTTAAATGTAACTCTAGTTGCATTTTTCTATCTTTTAATTCTATATTATTTTTTAACATAGCTATTTGTTGTTCTGCATACATAATAAGAGGATGATAGGCTGGATAAATTGTTTCATAGATCTTCTTTTTTTTGATTACATATTCTAATGCTTCCTTATGATCATCTATTAATATGTAAATTGTACTAAGATGATTATAAGCTTCACCAATAAAAGGATGAACAGGAGGATATATTTGTTCTTTGATATGCAATGATTTTTTAGCAGCTTCAATAGCTTTATTATATTTACCTTTCCTTGAATAAACGCTACTGATCTTTTCATATAAATCCGCCATTATAGGATCATTTATTGATGGTATTAGCTTTTCTTGAGCTTTCATAGCTTTATTGTACATTTTTAAAGCAGTTCGATTGCTATTCATTTCATGATAAACATCACCGAGTTTCATCCAAACATTTACAAACTCATTTGTTGTTTTATTTTTATTTACTTTTGAGTACATTTTGAGAGCCATATTGAAAAATTCAAGGCTTTGCTTATATTGTTTTTGATGATAGAAAATATTAGCAATTGAGAATGTTGTATGTGCAACAAATTCAAGGTTTGGTGGAACAGCATTCATAAATAGGTCACGTGCATGCATCATATTATCTAAGGCTTTTGAATAATCCTGTGTCATACTATAAGCAAGACCTAACATATGATAAATGGAAGCATTGGATTCTTTACCAAATGGTAATAAGTTGCTGTAATATTGTTGTGCTTTATGAGGCTCACCCATATTCAAAAGAAGATAACCAAATGTTAATATATTTGTTGATTGTAAAGCTTTATTTCGTGTATTTGTTAGATATTCATTAATAATTGTTTCACCTTCATCTGTAGTTGTCATTTCAACTCTCCAAAACTGCTCTGCAGTATCATAATAGACGTTATTAATTTTGAATGTGCTACCTAGATCAAATAATACTTCGGATTCATCTGAAATCTTACTGATTTCTCCAATATCTGCCAAAATATTTGTTTGTGATTGTATATTAACATTAATTGTAAATAATATTGGTATTTTGTCATCATTAGCTTGCATTCCAATACCAGCATAAATATATGCTACATCAATATCTCTTGTTGTTGATAAAAATCCATTTGTTGATATTAAACTTCCAATATTTTTACGCATATTTTCTACATCAATTAATGCTAATCGAAGTCCACGATACAGTGTAAAATTAAGTATATTTCGAGATTTTTGAAGATTTTTTAATTTTAAATATTCTTGTTGAAGCATTTTACATAGATCAACA